AGGTGTTGATGGAACGTGGGCAGGTGCAGAGGTAAGGGAAGGGAAGGAGTCGTTCCTGTTGTTATATGAGAAGGTGAGAAGGAAAGTCTGGAGGGAGGGGGACGAGTTGGTTGTGAGAAGGCGACAAAGTGAAAGGATGAAATATTAGTAGATCTTTCAAATCGAATCAAATGAGTTACTCCTAATTCCATCGTTTCCAGATCAAGTCCGGAAAATGTATCGTGATTAGAATGAATCAATGAAGATTGAATGACAAAAACCTACAGCACGTCAATTATATTCACTGCATGTTTACCATATTCCTCCATTCCCTTTTCTAATCATCCTCCATTCCTCTTAGTGTCGATGATCGAATCGTTTCAATTTCTCCAATTTTCGAATAATGCTCGTAAAATGGGGAACGTAGTGACTAAAGTAGATGAGTATCGTAGGACGATGGTTGCAAGTCTTCATGAAATGGTAAAAGGTGACATTAATCTCACCCATTCCTTCATATCCTACCTCCTGGTGCTCGTCCCACACCAGCAACGACCGCCACTGATCTCACACCTACTTTCCCTTCTCCAACACCTCCCAAACCGGTTGAACTTTTTTGATCATCATGATAAGCTTGCCAAAGACCTATACCACTTTCACTCCCTTTCACTCTTCTCCCGATGGTAGAACTTAATGGTGGAGTACTAGTCCCTCTTCCTCTTACTGAAATCGTATCTCCCAATTTAGAACTCTTTCCAATACCTGAAACACCTCTAACAGTTCCGTTCAACGTTTCTTTTGATGTTGTTGATACACCCTTGTTTCCAGGACCATTAGTTGTTGCAGTACTTTTAATCATCCCTGAGACTCTTGGTGTTCTAGGAGGGTTCAATACGTTTTTACCATTAACTCCATTCGTACTTGTCGATCTCGCCGCTAAAGCACTAGGACTTCTCATAGCAGGTGGTAAAGATGCTCTTACTCTTGAAGCTGGTCTAATTGTCGTATCACCCAATACCTCTTCTGGACTTCTTAAACGATGTGCAAATTTAGCATTTGCAGCTGATCCTGCTACATGACCAGAAGAAGAACGTCTTTGTAATCCTGTTGTTGGTTTTATGATGTTTTTATTTTGAGGAAGATTTGAAAGATTCGGTCGGATACGAGAAGGACGAAGTTGATCACCTGATTTGAAAGCGAATGACATTACTGATAATCTGTCAGATGACAATGTATCGGTATCACTTTCAGTACCTTTGGGTCGAAGAGAAGTACGAACGGGACGTAAAGGTCGACCAGGTGAAGGACCATCTCCTTTTAATGGAACTTTTTGTGGAGTAGTGGAAGGAGTACGAGAATGTGAGATGTTTTTTAAAGTTAGATCTTGGTTTGAATTCGAATTCACAGCAGGGAGGTTTGAAGTTTGAGTGGGATTGGATGAAGAATCGGTACTGGGTCGAGATTTCGTAGGTATCACCGGGGCAGAAGTCGATGAAGGTAAACGTGGGGGAGAAGGTGGAAGTGAACCTGATGCTTCTCTGACACGAGAGATATCTTCCATATTCAATAAAGCTTCCGTACTACCCGTCTTGGGTTTGAGATGCCATTCGTGGATTTTAATGAACCGGTATAAATTACGAGGTTTGACAGATCCACCTCGTCGGGTAGTATTAAATTTCTTTGGGGGATCAGGATCCATCTGAGATAATTTGGAAGATTTAGAGGTAGAAGTGGTGGATAGAGGTAACTGAGTGGTACCGACTCTCAAGCAAAGTAGAGAGACGTCGGAAAATTTGACAACCCATGTATCTGGGGGATCATGAGATGATTTGAGCATGTCTGACAATCGTTTCATGGATTTCTTTTGTCGGATGGTCTCATCTTTCGCCAGAGATGACAAAGAGTTGGGGGAAGTAAAGGCGGTTTCAGAGATCAGTAGGCGGTTGGGTTTAGGGGCCATGAGCATCTAAGAGGTCAGCAAGAAAACCCGGAAAATCATGGGCTAGAGGTACAAATAGAAGGACGGGAGGAATCCAAATGGAACAACAGAGGAAGAGGAGGTTAGTGTGGGAGTGAGAGAATCAGGCGAAAGTGAGCCTCTGAGAAGAAAGAGGAAGAAGGAGAGAGTAGGGAAAGTCTTGCCCACCTTATCCTTTTCCAACCCATCAATCCTTGCCCAAACATCTCTCGTCTTTTCTCTTTCCTCCTGACTACTCTTCTCATCCTCTATGCTTCTGACGATCATCTCCACCTCATCAACCATCTCCAAAGTCTTTTCATATTCCTTCAGACTAGGGTCTGTATTGAACAATAAATTCTGGAACAATAATGGATATTTCAATAACCTTTGAAAAGGTTTAGAAAGTGAAATGACCAGACCTGACTCCCCTCTCTCCGCCGCTAATTCTTCCAAAGACATTAGGGCCCTTCCCAATTTTACGATTTCAGTCTCTTCCACCCGCTTTGACAACCGACGAGAGGAACCATTCTTGTCCATTACACTTTGAAGAGCTTGATCCACTTGCATGAGAGCAGGTTCCAAATGAAGTATATATGTTGCGTATTCTCTCAAAATGTAGGAATGAGAGTTGAAGACGTCTGCTAAAGACCTAACCAGTGGATATTGATTATCATACCTTTTTCGTAGTGCCGCAGCGAGTTTAAGATGTCCCTGGAGGATACCACCTGTCAAAACAGTCAGAACCTTTTCTAAGTCAGGGGGTAGCTTGACGTTGGTGGGTACGGATCCTCCGGAAGAGCTACGTTTACCAGATTGATAAGATACTCTTGAGAATGTTCCGGAGTTTTGACCGATGCTGGAGCCCACTCTAGCAGGAGGAGGCATCGAGTGATGCGCCCTGGCTCGATCGAAACTTGCTTCAGAGGCTTTACGAGAAGGACGACCATTGGTAAGGATATGGTAAGCGTTCAGTCGAGCTGCAGCGTGTTGAGGTGATGAGGTGGTAGGAGAGTTTGTGGATGTATTGTAACCTGAACTCGAGGGATTACCGTTGCTCCCGTCGGAAACATTTCGAAGAGGATAATTATGGCCGGTGAGTTGGGATCGATGGGAAGAATATTTGGAAGCGATGGGTAGATCGAGATCTGGAGAAACAGGTGAGGCGGGGGAGAGCGGTGAGAGTGTACGGAGTAGGGCGATGGAAGGATCAGATAGGTTGAGAGATGGTGAGATGGATGAAGGGGGGAGAAGATGTAAACAGAATGTTTGGACTAATCTGATCAAATCCGCAACGTATCTTGCTCGTCAGCCAAAACTCAATTTGTTCCATAGCAAAGACGATGACAAGAGAGAGCAAAAGTCAACGACAGATAATCTTGGGAAACGTAGAAATCACCTTTCTTCACTGCTCACGATCTCCCATAAAACTTCTTGTCTTGTTCTCTCTCTCGGACCCAGATTTGCGATCAATTCCTCTTCGGCCATCTCGCTCCAACTGTTCGGTGGAGGTAGATAACTCATGCCGCTCATCCCACTCTGCGCCCCGGATGATTGTTCGGAAGGAGTAGGAGACATTGCTGAACTTTTCGAAGGACTAGTCGTTCCCCCTCCTGAATGTGCAGGATGAGAGATTATTTGTTGTAAAGGAGGTATCGAAAATTTCCTTCCCATCAAAGGTCTCCCACTGACAGAACTCTGTCTAGAAGGTACACTGGGTCTAGAAGATTGTGCCGTTGGTGGTCGACTCGAAACCTTGTTAGCACCTGTACCATTGACACGTTTGATGGGAGAAGGTGATCTTTTCCCTTCTATTTGATGAGTTTGTACAGGAATGGAATCAAGTACCACACTTGTCGTTGGAGTGGGAACAGGACTACGAAATGTTACTTTTTTACCGTGACCTTCCATACTTATGGTACGTGTACGTTCTTCCCATGGAGCGGTGATGATACCTGTCAAATCGACTTCTCGTTCAAGTTGACCCAATGCGGAACGTGGTCGAGGAGAGGATGGGTCGGATGATGAATCGATAGGAGGTCCTAGACATGGTTGACTCGGAAGAGTTTCGGGATGAGGACGCGAAGAAGGGACATGTTTCGGAGGAGATTTTGGTGGTGGGGGAGGTGCGATATTTCGAGTTTCTTTGGGTGTGGATGAGGATGGGACGGGCGGAGGAGTGCTCTTGAATCGAGAGAAAAGAGATTTCATCGTTGTTCAAGGTCCCAATGATCCAGCATTCACAACCAAGTTGAGAGTAGGGCGGGCTTGATGTTTCAGGAACTAGTGGAAGAGATTTGGTTGTTGACGTGAGAGATAAAGGAGGTTAAGGTCGGATGGATGTCAAGGCCGATAGTCGTCAGGTCGAGTAGGGGTGGTTTCTATGCTTTGTAACGTCAACAGTCGTTGGGGGTCGTGAGTTTCCTGGGGTATTTGTTGATTAACTGAGTTGGAGATGAAGGAAAGAATGAGAGAGAGTGGAGAAAGAGGAATGAGATGGGAAGTGAGGTCGTTCGGGGCGTGTTGATTCAGATGTAAAGTTGAAACTCGTGCTCGTCTCAAGTGGCACAAGGAAGGATAGGGACATAGAGTATCACTGACATCATAACAACATATGATGGTCACTGTATCTTACTGCTTCTCATACAAGTTTACTGCTCACGTCACAGGTCACATGTGGGGAAAGCATACATGCATTTTTGAAGAAGACTCGAGTGTATATGGCAGGGTGTATGTAGCAAGATAGGAAGATCAAAGTGGCAAAAGATTTAACAAGGCTCCACCAAAGACAGTCGCGCACAGACCCTCTTTTTCGGCTGATCCCAAACGCCACATTCCGGCGATTCGGCAATAAGATGATACAAGCCGCTAGCCGCTACTATACGGCCAGGGTGAATGTCAAAGGCCGAGAGAGGAAAGAAGGGGGGAATAGATGTCTCACCCTTCTGTGCATACATACAGTGATATATACTGTGACCATCGTCAAGAGTAACAGTCAAGGTGCAAGGTGATCGCGACAACCCCCACGATTGATAAACAGTCCACGGGCCACGCACGAGCCTCGTGGATAAAAGTGTACAGTATACTGTAGAAAAGTCTAAGTAGTCAGCATGCGTCATTGATCATTGATCATTGAACCATTCAATCAAACCCCGACCCCCACCGACAGACATCCCTTCACTCGTCACTCGTCATTCGGTCATACTCCTCCTTCTGGTCCTACTATTCGACTGGTCACCGTCATACAAGCCACTCTGTCTCTTTGGGTTCACCATCTCGATGCATATCCAAAGATCCGACGGTGGTTGATTGAGAGGTGACACCTCGGCTATCACTCGTTTCCAACATCATCGATCATCTTTCCACTTGAAACTCGCCTCCGACAAGTCAAAACTCCAACATTCAATAGTCGACAATCAACACCCAAATAGAGGGTAGACAACGTTTGACTCGACTACCCCTTTTATCACAAACATCTTGTCACACCATGTCTTTCCTATCCCGCCCTTCACGCTCATACGCCAATGTGCAGCACAATGCCGACGGTCTCAGTGCCGTAGGTACTGCACCTTATTCCGCACCTGTTCCAAATAGAGTACAAGGTGGTTTCAAAACGTATCGTCCTCGTGAGTGTTCCCTTCTTTGGTATCTCTTACGTATGTGTACCTTGCCATGACCTATGGCCTATGGATTAACAACCCGTACTTTGACCTGTGACTTGTAACTCTCCGTCTTCTATCTTCTCTATAATCTCACTTCCTCCACTTGTGTCTTTGCCTGCTCTCAACTATCACTTCACGTCTTCTTGCTGGTGTTACATCCATCCCTTGATACTCACCCCTTCAACTTAGTTGTTGTTCATCACCGAGCTTGATCCTTGACCCTCTACCTCTTCGGGCATTCTCTACTCCTCCGTGACTGGACTTGCCCTGTTCATCTCTCTCATCCCTTGTGTATATAGAATTGTCGGCAGCCGCTTGCTCCGTAACTCTCGCCACCGCTCCTACCAATCACTTCTACTGTTTACTCCATAACCGCTTCACCTCCATTATCCATGTCCTGCGCAGTCCACACATACAGCGAAGGAAGGCTCGAAATGAGATACAAACCTCCTCGTTCCTCTCGATGGTCATCGCTATCCGTCCAGCTTTATCGGAATCCCATCTACGTCGTACGGCAGGATTCGACCCACATCCCTCTTCGCGTTCGCCCCTCTCCCCGTCCTCCAGATCACCTCTCACAAACACAAGAAAGAACTCGCAGCCGCGGACCAACGTGCTGAACTTGATCGCATCCTCGAACCAGAATTCAAACCTTCCTCCGGATCGATATATGAAGATCGTGATTCCATCCATTCCGCCGGTCCTAGTCGTCTCTCTCATATTCGTACCGCCGGTGGAGTCTCTGACAAGAAAGGGAAACGACCCGATGGACATCTTCGTGCTGCCGCATCACTTCAAAACCTTCGACCTGGAAGCGCTGCCAGTGGGAGACGATCAGGTTTAGGAGGTGTCTATGTGGATGCTAATGGTAGAACCCATGATACGGAATATGACCCTTTCGCAGGTGTATCCGCTATCTCTCGAAACAAGAGTAAACGTCCTAGTGCATTCGGTATGAATGGGCGGAGACATAGTTCGGCTTCTTCTTCTTCTTCAGATAGCGACAATTCTGATCGGCCCCGAGCGAGCTTAGACAGAGATGGAGGACATAACAAGGATGAAGAAGAGATAAGACGAAAGTTGGAGTTGGAAAGAAGAAGGTTAGATGAAGTTTCGGGATATGCAGCTGCTAGAAGGAGATCAATGGTTTCGGATAAAAGTTGGCAACCGAATTCCGCTCCACCGAATGGTATCAGCGGATATCCCAATGGAAGAGCGACGCCGAGTTTGAGATCTTATGAAGATGGTACGAGTTCTGGACATAGTCTACAATTGGATCGATATGCCGCTATCAACGGTGCTCGATCCAGATCTTCGCAAGGACAAGAAACCATATCTCCTCTATCACCAGGTTTCGCGCCCAGTTCAAACACTTCAAGAGGTTTGCCGACTACTTTTGAGGGTGATGGAGAGGATACACCTGTTAAAATGACGGAAAGTACAAATTCCGATCCATTATCACCCATCTTGTCCAATGTCCATCTTACTCGTTCGGGTCGAGCTCCATCTTATGTCCCACCAAACTCAGGTTCAATCTTATCATCCAATTCCTTGAAACCTCCGGAATACTCTAATCAGTCGGATCAGTCAAATGTATCAAGTCAAAAGTCACCAGCAATACCAAAGAAGAAAGAACGTATCGAAGTTAAAAAAGATGGTTCTGTTAAAATAACAGGTTTTGACGCTCCTTCATCTCCTATGCCACCTTCTATTCTTCCCAAATCCCCTTTATCTTCCACTTTACCAGGAAATAAGTCCTCCGTCATCAATGGTGATTCACTTCGTGTACCAACAACAACAACAGCAACAGGTACATCCATCAGATCTTCTTCACATCCTCCACATTCAACAGTACATAAAACCAAACCACCCGAAAGACCTAGAGAAGATCTTTTCCCAGAAACTCCAGCTCAAATGAAACGTAGAGAAGATCGTGAACGTAGAGCAGGTTTAGGTGTTTCATCTTCTTCACAATATCCTAGATCTCGAAATCCATCATTAGCAATAGATACTAGATTAGCATCAACAGGTGTTGCTAGGATTTTACCTGAAATTGAAATAGTGGAAGATGATGATCCTCGAATCGTCTTTCCTCCAGAAGGTAAAACGACAAGAGTACAAAGTGTTAATGAACATGCTATCAGAGGACCTTTTGGACCGTTATTACATCATAAAGAAAAGGAAAAGGAGAAAGAGAAGGAAGGTTCTTTGTTTCATTATAATGGTTATAAAACAAGTTCTGTCAATGGATCTTTATATAAAGAAACACGTGAAAATTCTTTATTACCTTTAAAAGAGAAAGAAAGGACAGCTTCGTTTATGAGTGGTGGTAGTAGTGGTATGAGGGATAAAAGTGGTGTATTGGATCTAGATAATCAAGCGGGTTATTTACCTTCTAGATGGGCTAATGGGGATAAAGAATTGAGAGTTACGGAAGATGAAAGAGAGAGGTATAGACCTAGGGAATGGGGTGAAGTTGCAGGAGGGACAGGTGAATGGAAGTGAGTCATTATTTCTTTATACTCTTCTTTCACCTGGTGGTGTTATTGGGTTTTTTGGTTGAGTAGGACATGGTTATTTGTCATATACCGTGGTCTCGCTGAGAGTTCCCTGTGTTCTGGGTTAATAGGACAAAAGCTGATATTTTAGACCATCGACGAAAGAACAGATCAAGAGGAATTGGAAAGATGTTCAAACGAACGCTCGTTTCACTTTGTTCAGAGCGAAGAAAAAGTTGTTGAGAAAGGCTGAGCTTTGAGCTTTGTATCGGGTTGATACTCGCATACCTCGGATGTCTCAATCGTCTTCGATACACAACGGGATATCACGATGAAATATACTGGTATAGTAAGTAGTCGAGTGGAGGACCAGGAAAGTCAATCTGGGAGAGGGAAAGGAGATTGGATGTATCACGTTTGAAGGAAACAACAGTCAGGTTTTGTAAGTAAGGGTTGTATCACCTTGTAGCTGAATTTGGATGAAATGGGAATTTGCTTGGAACTTTCTAACTTTGAGTAAAAACTTGTAACGTCTCACTCAGTCTTTTAAGTCTTTGAGTCAATGAATGTTTCACCGGATCATCGGAACATGTACAAGTAGGGTAGTGTAGTGAATTTCCTGTGATACATACAGTATATGATATCGCTTGATCGGTGACCGCTGGAATATGTAGATCTCGGAAAGTGAGAAAGATGATCAGGGCGATCTATCGTCGTCGTTCCTCTTGGACCTGACATGTATTCCACCACATGATATGAAGGTTCATGGTTTATCACCCACTTTGAAATAATCATCAATGATATTCATCCATCGGCATTTAGTACAAGTGATCAAGTACTTCAGGTCTAGGGGTAACAAGCTCGAATCATCGACTGAGATCTATAGTGTGGTATTCTCATCATCTCATCATAGCATATTGTCATATCCCGTGGCCCGTGGCCGTCAAGCCGAACAAACAAGTCAACAATTTCGGATAACGGATATCGGATGTAGGATGTAGCACTTTGAAACGAGGTTCATTAGTTTCTAACTTTCCCCTTGATCCCGTGATTCCTTGACTGCACTAGTTCTGACTCGGTACGTGTCAATCACGCGTGTCTTTTAACCGATAACCGACCTTGAAGCTTTTGTTCATCCATCCTCAATCCTCAAGATCTCATTGTAACAGTAGTCTAATCATCATTCACTTGTGTCCTATTTAATCCTACTATAACAGGTTTCTCTCTTTCGCTCCAGTAACTCATGCATGATTCACAGGAGGAACATGCCGAGTGAAGTGATCAACCACGAGCTCAAACACGCAATTATCATAAAAGTCACTAGTTGATCCCCTGGCCCCTGATCCCCTGAAAGGACCCCCTCGACACAATAAATGACGTGGCTTTTGTCTCTGATTTCTGACCCTTCTGGCTCACGCCCCTGTGTGGAGCGTGAGAGTGATGGGTGATGGGTGAATTGGTGATTACCGAAGTCACCGATGACCGGATGGACGCGACGCAAGGAACCCAAGGACTCAAGGGGCGGAGAAAAGACTTTCAGGGTCTAGACTTAAGAGATTTCAGGGACCAGGCCCCCTCCCCTCCTCCTACCCAAGACCCAAAAAGCTCACGGGCCACGGGCCTGGCTCCTGGCTCTTGGTTTACTCGTTCTTTCTCTATCTCAACTACAACCTTCCTCTTCTACTGTCATTGAATCTCTTGTGATAGTTTCCATCAACGAAAAGAGTGAATCAATACATAACAGGAGTAAATAAAGAAGAAGGATAAAGAAAGAATAAGAGGAATAGGAATAGGAATAAGATAAGAGGAAGAAAAGTGTGATTTTCTCCAACGAGAAAAAAAAAGGGGATAAGGGGGATTATCAAGGCACCAAAGAAAGTAATTAATAAAAAGAGAGAGTGAGTTACCTTTATCCTTCTTCTCTTTCGTATGTCATACTTTCATATGTATATCGTCATCCTATCGCTTAACCTTTTGGTCTTAAGTTGTATTAGAGTGTGAAAATGTGAGAATGTTAGAAAAGTGGGATTTTGAGAGAGGGTTGTCTGACAATGGTCAAGAGTAGTGTGAAGGATAATGATGTACATACAACATCGCTTAGGAATTG